AAACATCGCCTTCTGAAGCCGATTGGCGTGAGAATGTCGTTGGCCTTGTCCAAGCGAGTCAACCCGGCCAAGGCCTCGAGGCCTTGCACCCGGTCGAAGACCTCGCGGAGGTACTCCAGCGGCATTCTGCTGACCGCCCGGTACTTGTTCGGAGGCGCCCGAGACTCCAGGTCCACGATGTTTCTGGCAGCGTTGAGGTGCGTGTGAATCGGATCGGCCCCCAGCGTCAGCAAGCGCATCAAAGTGAGCGCGCTCAAGGTGGCGCTCCTGTGAGCCCCGTTGCGGCAGTAAATCAAAACCGACTTACCCGCCACAAGGGCCTCAACCGCCTGGTCCACCGTCTTCATCAGCTTGTCGAAGGACACCTCGCCGTTGGCGACCCCGGTGCCGTCCATGACCGCCAGGCTTCGGAGATCCATGGACTGGGCTTGACAAGGCTTCGAGGCCGCTGGAAACAGAACGGTGCCAGGAGGACACTTTGAACTTACGGACTTATAACCCACTTATAAGTGACTTAGGTTGGAGTATTTATAAGTGAGTTATAAGTAACTTACAAGTAACTTATAAGTAGACCTAAGTCCTACAGGTTTTCACAAAATTGTATTTTGTACGATCGCCGTCCGTTTGCCAGGAATGGTGATTTTCGCATCCCATTTTCGCAACCGCCAACTGGACACTCTCGCACGTCCGACGCAGGCAGCGTAGCCCGTGCTGGCGGCGTTGGGAGACTGCCATGCTCAAGCGGCAATTGCGGCACTGCAAGGTTTCCACCGTCTGCTCGGCTTGGGTTCTGGTAGCTGGTTTGGGGTTGAGGGTATATAGGGATCCAAAGCAGGGAGCCGGGCGTGAAAAACTTGGCCCTACATGTGTAGCCCCAGCAGAACACATTGTTTTGGCCGCGCGGACATGCTCTGTTAGGCAAAGGCCTATACTGGGGCCGAGGAGGCCGCGGACATCCGCGGACATCCGCGGACACCCGCGGACATCCCGCGGACATAGCCCGGGAGCTCTCCGCAACTCACTGCTCCGCAAGCACGTCGGCGAGAAAAGCGAGGATCTCGCAATTGGCAGCGCTGTCCGGTATTTTATCAGGGTGGCAAAAGGATGCTGCGGAACGTAGAGCAGGATGTTAGTGAGTTTTTGTTGCGTGGCCCGACGCGTGGAAACATGACGCACTGGTGCGGCTGCCATAGCGCGGCTACAAGTGGGAAAACGGACAAAACCTTGAGGCTGCAATGGCAAGTCGAGCTACAAGGAAAGCCGATTTATCACAACAACATGACACGAAAAGCAACAACAAAGACAACAAAAAAAAGGTGGTTCGTAAGTAGTTATAAGTCCACATAAGTCCGCATAAGTCCGACAGGCCAAGTAATTATAAGTGACTTATAAACATTTATAAGTTCAACAAAAATCGACATACTTATAACTCACTTATAACTCAGTTACAGGATTTATAACTAAGTTATAACCAAGTTATAAACAACTTATATCCAAAGCGCCCTCCTGGTGATTTTGTTGGCCCTCAGAATGCTGAGGTTGCTCGCTGCAGCTTCGCCTCCAAGCCACAGTTTGCCTCGGCAACCCGGCGAGAACAAGGCCATGTCGAGCACCAAGCTCAGCGGATGCCTGTCGGGACAGCACTACAGGCCAACAGGCATTAGGCATTAGGCTTAAGGCTTAAGGCTTAATAAGGCTTAAGGCTTAAGAGCTTAAGGCTTAAGGCTTAAGGGCGAGCGAATAAGGCTAAGGCTTAGGCATAAACTATCGCTGCCTATATACTATACTATATACTAATATACTATACACTATGTACTATATACTATCTACACGCTGTGTATGCCAAATGCCACGTGCCATAAGCCATATGCCTAAGCCTTAAAGCCTTAAGCCTTAAGCCGAACCTCAACTTAACCTGAATCTTCAGCAGCACATGCCTAAGTTTCAACAAGCCCGTGCCTCTCGTTGTAAGCGTCGCGCGCGTGACGCGCAGCCACAACGCCGCCGTAGGCTTCCGAGACCAGCATCGCGCGCAACTGCTCTGTTGCTCGGAGCAGCTTGTCGTCTTGGCGAAGAGCTGGACCCGGCCAGAGGCCACGACTCGCATCTCTGCGTGCATCGTGGCTTGTGAAGAGCGCCCCAAGTCCGGACAACCTGATCGACTGCAGAAGCATGGCGAGGCTCGAAGTGCAAACAAACACAACTCACAGTGGACTCACAGTCACGTCCACGTTTGCTGAAGATGGCTGAAGGGGCCACTTAGGGCTTCAAGGCTTCATGAACTTCAAGGACTCAAGGCTGAGGGTTTAGAAATTTAGGGTTTAGGAGTTTAGGGCTTAGGGCTTAGGGCTTAAGGCTTAAGGCTTAAGCTTAAGGCTTAAGGTTAGAACCTGGGCCTAGGGCTTAGGGCTTAGGGCCTTAGGGCTTAGGGCCTAGGGCTTAGGGCTTAGGGTTTAGGGCTTGGGGCTTAGGGCTTAGGGCTTAAGGCTTCAGGCTTAAGGCCTAGGGCCTAGGGCCTTACACTAAGCCTTACACCTTATAGGGCTAGGGCTTAGTGGCTTAGGCTTAGGGCTTTAGTGGCTTCAGCTCAGGGCCGGCTTCGGGCCTAGGCAAGCTTAGGGGGAGGGCTTAGGGCTTAAGGCTTAGGGCTTAGGGCTTAGGGTTAGGGCTTAGGGCTTAGGGCTTAGGCCTTAGGCCTTAGAGCTTAGCTTAAGGGCTTAGGGCTTAGGGCTTAAGGCAAAAGGCTTAGGGCTTAGGCTTAGGGCTTGAGGGCTTCGGGCTTAGGGCCTGGGCTTAGGGCTTAGGGGCTTAGGGGCGTGGCTTAGGGCTTAGGGCTTAGGGCCTGGAGCCTTCGGGCTTAGGGCTTGGAGGCTTAGAGGCTTAGAGTTTAGTTTTTTTTAGAGTCTTAGAGGAGTCTTAGAGTCTTAGAGTCTTAGAGTCTTAGAGTCTTAGAGTCTTAGAGTCTTAGAGTCTAGAGGAGTCTAGAGTCTAGAGTCTAGAGTCTAGAGTCTAGAGTCTAGGGACAAACAAGAACGCCGAGCAAACCCTTCCTGACGCTCAAACGCAGTTCAACTCAACGCCAGGCCTACGCAATTAAAACCACCCTGGTACAAGTGCAACCTTTGCTCTGAAAGGCAAACCCCACCCTACCCTGCCAAAACATCCCCCGCGCATGAGCAAACCGGCGGTCCTTTCCATGGACCAGGGAAGAAGGTCATGAAGTCGCTCACCGCCGTCGCGAAGCCGCGGGCTGGCTGGTCGTCCTCGCCTTGCGGAGCATTCAAGATCACTAAATCTAGCAAAGCCCTGGCCGCTACCCGGGAACGAGCCCACTCCTCCTGCAAACCTTCGGGGTCTTCTTCCATGACGATGAGCCTGGCAGCTAAAACTTCCTGGACACGCTTGCCAATGGTTCGCATCCACGACCCTTGAATCATGGTTTTCGATACTGCAAAGCAACCCGGCAAGATGCCCAACAACTTCGTGGCGCGCTCGATCACGTTGCCATTGCGATGTTGCGCGCAAAGCGTGGGAATCAAGCCAACTGAATCTGGCAGGCATGCGCACAGGTTCTTTAGTAACTTGATGTTTGCTGGGCCTGCGTCGCACGTGATCAGGACAGCACGCATCTCTGCGTCAACTGAGGTCACGCCCGGCCAAAGGCCGCCAACTCCAGCACCTAGCACAGGCCACATGGTAGCTGCCTTTTTCGTTGGCAAAACGCAAGGGGCGCGAACAGCATCAAAGTCAACGACTTGCCCTTGACTGCAAAAAGTGATCTGAGAATGGCTTGCGAGGACAGACCAGGCAGCTTCCCCCTCACTGCCCATGTCTAATTCCAACTCTGTCTCATCGAACATCATATTCAGCACTGCAAAATCAAGAGGACCGTCGCCATCGTGATGTAGCTGCCGCTGAAGCTTAGAAGCGTAGTCTTTCTGGCCCTGCTCAATGCACTCAGCCACGAAGAGTCTAGCGCTCATCACGCCTGAGGCGCTTGCCCCTTCCATTTGACCTGCAGCGCTGCGCGAGCTCATGCTACCCGGCGAGAAGCCTCCCCGCAGAATTGCGTCCGGAGTCCATCGCTTCCACGCTCCTTTGCCCTTTACTGCAGAGCGCTTGGCGCCGCTGCTGACAGGGAGTATATGATCTTCGGTTCGTCCCCTGCCGGATCTGTTTGTCTGCTGCGCTTGCAGACGAAAGGACGCCTGCGCAGAACTCGCCCGCCGCTCCCTGGCCTCCACCCGGCGCAAGGCCCTGCGCCGGGCACGCAGTCCACCCGCCCTGGGGGCCGCAGCCTGCCGCGCAACGCCAGCTAAAGCTTGCAGATCCATGGCAAACGCCACATGGCCACGTGGCAAGTGCCGGGCCAAGTGCTTAGGGACCGAAATGACTTAACGCTACGCTCACGTAAGGCAATTACACGGGGCTGAGCGTCAGACTACCCTGACCCTAATGACCTCATGACAACAACTGTCAAAGAATGCGGAATCCTGCTGCGGCGCGGCGTAAGTGAGCAGAGTTGAGAATTGAATATTAAACTTAGGCGTTCTTAGTTCATTTTATCATTGTCCTGAACTCAATGCCTCAATGACTCAATGCTAAACCAACCATTGTCGCAAAGAATGAACAAGCCCAGAACAACTGTTGCAAAGTAAGAAACAATTGCTGCAACAACAGAACATTTTAAGAAACAATGTTCGCAAGAATTGAACAATATTCAGAAACAACTGTCGCAACAATTGAACAATATAAGAAACAATTGCCGCAATTGCCGCAAGAATTGAACAATTTGCCGAACCAATTAAACAATTGTTGGAAGAATTGTAACCCCAAGCCAAACTATTTAAGAATATTTCTACCCAGTTCCGGGGGGGACTCTCCACCGGGCTTTCTGAAAACTCCTAAGTTTAGGGTTTAGGGTTTAGGGTTTAGGGAGTTTTGGAGAGATTATGGTGTCCCAAAAAGTGTGAAGTGTACTCACTCAGCTACTAAGGTTCAATCACCGACTGCATCACCGTGAATCCAGCGAGCACGATAAGGTTGAATACACCTGCTGCTTTGACCCACCACCAGATCGAATCCCAAGTAATGTTCTCCTGGACCTCCTCTTCACGAAGAAGCATACCTCCAGTGTCGTTGGCCTGCTGGGCAAGCATCACGCTCTGGGCCGCATCGGTAACTGTAGGCTCTCTTGCCTCTTCCTCGGAGTCGTCATCGTCGTGGACCTGCTCCTGCTGTATACGATTGAAGGCCTCCGTCTCCATGACCTCTGCTGGCGCGCCAGTCTCTATCACGCAGCCATCTTCGAATAGGACGAGGCGGTCGAAGTGCTGCAGGCGTGTGCGATCCGGCTGCGTCACCACCAGACGAGTCCGGCCGCGCATGATGGGCCCCAGCAGCAGCTCAGTGAAGATGTGCTGACCTGGGTTGGCACAAAACCCTGTGAAAAATACTTGTATACAGGGTCCCTTTTCCACCCAAACAAGGACCCAAATAAGGAATATATGATTTCAACATATTTCAGAAGCCAGCCTAGTGACCTGTGGGGCCGTCCACCGAGGCAAATGGGTCGTCGATGAGCACAATCTGTGCAGCTTCCATGTAGGCAGCGCGGGCCAAAGCAACTCGAGCACGCTGTCCTCCACCATTGTTGGGGCACTATGCAGAAAATATGGTTTTTTGTTCCTTCTTGGGTTTAAGTATTCAGAAAGGTGCAAAAACTATCATGTTCGTTCCTTGTAGGGTTTGAGTATGTAAGTAAGTAATCATTAAAAATCAGCGATGATTTTCAACAAACCCTAAACCCTAAACCCTAAACCCTCAGTGTCCTCCAGAGAGCCGAATGCCGAATGAGCCGATGGTGCACTGATCGCCACCCGGCAAGATTTGGAGGTCCTAGGATGGCCCGTAAGGTTTAGGGTGTAGGGTTTAGGGTTCAGGGTAAACCTCTGAAAAACCCCAAGAAGGGAAGCTACAAAAATGTTCCCCAAGCGCCTAGCCTAGGGTCGGATGTCAAGCCAGCAGCATGGATACACTTGTAGTAGCGGTCATGGTGGAGCTGCTGGTTCAGGATGATATTTTCGCGGAGGGTGCCCTCAAAGATCCAGGGTACTTGGGCGCAGTAGGCGATTTGGCCCGTGGCGGTGTCAGGAGCTTCGACAAAGCCGAGACCGGCTGCCCCATTCCTAGGATGGGCCCTTAACACCCTCTTAGGGTTTAGGGTTTAGGGTTTATAGGGTTTAGGTGAACATGATCCTCTTAAACCCAATGCCTAGGGCTCCAAGTACACAAATAACACCTACATGGGGGTCTAGTCTGGAAAGCATACCTACTTAGGGCTACTTGGAGCCTTAGGGTATTATAAGAAGGGGAGATGCAACATTCTCCCAAGTGCATAGCGAGGTTCAGCGGATGGAGCTCCCCAATGATAGTTTGCAACAAGGAGCTCTTGCCCGCACCGACCTTGGCTGACTTCAAGAACCCAGTTTAGGGTTTAGGGCGTAGGGTTTAGGGTTGAGGGTGAAAGTTAAACGTTTAGCCTCCTTTTTGTGGTGTCTCCAAAAACCCAAAAAAGGCTAAAGTCCTAAGAGCCAGCCAGAAGAAAGCCAAGCCACGCGCCCGATGATCCCCACAAGCTCCCCTTGCGGCACCGCAAGGTCCAACTCTTTCCTATACTGAACTTGGAACCCCAGCAAAAATTCCAATTTTTTGCTGTTTCTTAGGAATTATTGTACCCAAAAACTAAAAATCTATTTCCAAGTACCCCGAAGTTTCAAGATGGGCTTCGTCCCAGAGTAGTTGAAGCTTCCCATCACCCAAACCTAGACTGAACTGGAAATCTAGCAAAAACTTCTGAGTTTAGCTGTTTCTTAGGGACTACAGTAGCCAAAAACTTGAAAAATAAATCCCAAGACCCTAAACCCTAAACCCTAAACTCTAAATCCTAAACCTTCCCAAGAAACGGCTGGTCGGTTCTGGGTCTGCGCAGGCTGGCGCACCACCCCTTGGGGCCGATCTGGCTGGGCCAGAAAGCGCCTGATTCGGTTGAAGCTGTTCGGAACCTTGGGCGCACAAAAGTTAGGGTTTAGGGTTCAGGGTTCAGGGTTCCGGGTTTAGGGGTTAGGGGTTAGGGTTTAGGGTCCCTACAGAGGAGGTGCTTTAACGCCCAAGTATTCCCTATCTTTAGCGACACGAACCCTTAGGGTTCTTGGCTGACCCCCTCGTAAAGGCTTAACTTTTAGGCTCCTTGTGGTGGTTTCTACAACAGCCAATATAGGTTCAAGTCCTAAGAGCCAGCCAGAAGAAAGCCACGGAACGGTCATAAACCGCCCGAGTCCGTTGGAGAGTTGGGAGATGTTCGCCTGCAGGGCCTGGATGAGACGCTGAACAATCATGACTTCATAGGCGGCGATTCTGCCATGCTCTGCCATCCTTGGGGACAAGCTTAGGGTTTAGGGTTTAGGGTTACACCCTTAATACTACGACAATCCCATGCAAACAAAAAGGTATTCAGAATGGTCATGCACCCTTAATTCTACCATATTCCTCATGAAAAGTGGTATTCTGAATCCCTGAACCCTCTCAGGGTTCATAACGTAGGTTGCAGAGCAACCTAGGATTAAAAAGGGTGCCCTTTGTTCTCAACAGGGACTTCGAAGGGAACCTAAAACCCCCCAAAAAAGGGGGGGAATAAGGGCACTACGGGGCATCTTCGGTAATTGCTCCCCGAGGATCAGGATCCAAAAGGTGATTGCGAGCACGCCCCAGGGTAGGGTGTGGGCAACCGCATTCATGACGCCCGACATGCAATACCTTGGACATGAAGCCCCGAAAATTTTGGGGGAGGGGGGGGGGGTCATATACCCTGATACTACAATACGCTCTGAAGCCCCGAGCTACAACCCTAAACCCTAAACCCTAAACCACTTTTAGGGTTCAGGGTGTCCCCAAGGTACATCATCTTCCCGGAGTGGAGCTCTCCATCTTTTGCCTTGACGAGCTTGTCCAGGGCGAGCTTCTCCTTGGTAGCCCTAATTAAACCCTAAACCCTAAACCCATAAACAAACAGAGGGTAAAGGGTCGCACTGGGCTACCAAGTCTCCCAGGCAAGGGCCTTGACGATTCGGATCGAGAGCAGGGACTCTGTCAACCACTTCAGGCGCGCGTCCATGTACATCCTTGGTAGGTTTAGGGTTTAGGGTTTAGGGTTTAGGGTTTAGGGTTTAGGGTTTAGGGTTTAGGGTTTAGGGTTTCACCCCCCCCCCCCCCCCCCCCAATAAAAAAGTTTGGCTTTTCGCTCCCTAAATAGCCCAAAACTTACGAAGTGATGATAAAGGTGTAGTAAAGTCCCACCCAGCATCTGGTACTTCTTCCAGTAGTTCATGGCAACCTGGGTGCACAGCATCATGAGAATCAACACCGGCACGATGTAGCTCGCCCCACCGATGGCGGAGAAGCCTAGGATTAAACAAGGGTACCCTTTTTAATGCTTAAAGGGGTTTATAAGGGAACCTAACACCCCCCCCCCCCCCCCCCCTCCCCCAAAAAAAAATTGGGAATAAGGGCACTGCTGGGCATCCTAGAAGCTGATCTGCGACACCATGAGGGCAAGGAGGAAGGCCATGGAAAATGGCGCGATAAACACGCAGAGGACGTCGCGGATGAGGCCTCCCCAGCAGTCCACGATGTCTACGTTGAGGATCTGCACCAAGTTGGGTTTGTGGGACCCCCACGGGTCGGCCTCCTCGTCCCCATCCTTGGAAGCCCAATAACCATCTCATGATAAGGGCACCCTTTTTTGGGGTTGTTTTTTTTTAACAAGGGAACCCAGAACCAAAAAAAAAAGGGGGGTAAAGGGTACCACTGGGCCACCAAGCATCTGCCGTCTCCCGCGTCTCAGGCCTGGTTGCGCTGGCGGGCGTGCGGAGCGCCTTGTGGAAGACGGTGGAGGCCAGACCGGAAGCGCAGATCTGGGTCCAGTGGCCATCGATCCTAGTTCATGGTTGGGATAAAATGAAAAAATGATTTTTGTTTTATTCCTTATAGGGTTTATGAGTACCCTTAAAACAAGCAAAAATTGGACCCAACTATGACAAAGGATCAAGGTGGAGATGATGCTGAGGAATCGAAAGATCATGGGCATACCCCACATCCAGATCAAAGTGGCAAGGGTCGGAGCCAAGTAGCTGGGCTGCTCTCCTGGATGTTGCCTTGGCACTTGGTAGCCCGGTAACCTTATTATAACAAGGGCACCCTTTTTTTGGTTTAGGGTTTAGGGTTTAGGGTTATAAGGGAAACCATGAAAAAATGAGGTAAAGGGTACCACTGGGCTACCCAGTTGCAGCATCCAGGCGTCTAAGCTCTCAAGGGAGTTCATGAAGAACTGAAGCCCGACGATGCTCAAGGCTCCCCCCGCGATCTCCGACATGAAGGTGAGGACCTGAGCTTTGGAGTAGACCCTGGAGAAACAAAGTACACACTTTTGAGGTATAAGTAGCTATAAATGGGATTTTTCAAGGTATAAGTAGCTATAGTGGGAACCCAGAACCAAAAAAAAACGTATTAAAGCATAGTACTCCAAGACCCAGGGACGACCATGGCCAGGCAGCCTTTGAAGCCCACGGTCTTGTAGAGGGCCTGCAGAATCCTCAGCTTTGGGGGGTAGACCCTGGAAAAAGAGTATATACTTGTTAGATATAAGTCGCAAAAGAACAGTATTAAAGTATAGTAAAAGAGTATATACTTGTTAGGTATATGTCGCAAAAAAAGAAAGTATGAAAGTATAGTACTCCAAGACCCAGAGTCCAGGCCTTCTCGACGCTGCCGGCGCGCTTCACCTCCTCCTGCCAGTGCTTGTGGAATGTGACGTAGGGCACCTTGGTAGCCCTAAACCCTAAACCCTAAACCCTAAACCCTAAGCCCCCCAAAAGAGGGGAAAAAGGGTACCACTGGGCCACCAAGGGCACAAAGGCATCATCTCTCCGGTTGCACACAATCTCATTGTCATCGATCACGGCATTCGCATGCTTGCCATATCCTAGGGTTTAGGGTTTAGGGTTTAGGGTTTAGGGTATACTGAAATTGGAAGCCTAGCAAAGATGAGAATTTTAGCTGTTTCTTAGGAATGACAGTGCCAGAAAATAGAATCTTTTCCCATGTATCCCCAAGTGTCTTCCCACCAGCTCATCCACCCAGGCCAAACCTATACTCCCCTTTTAACCTTAACAAAAATAGTACGATTAATATCCTCTTGGGTTTTATATAAACAAAAACAGAAAATAGTTCCCAAGGGGGATATAGAAGCTAACATAGTTCATGATGCCTCTCGCGTAGGCCTTCTCGTCGTCGGCCAGACCCATCTTGACGGTGTCCATTGGTCGCTTTCTGGGAACCGACGCCACTGCGTAGACGGACCACACGATGACCACCGCGACGCAGACTGCCCACGCAAAAGTAATCTTCATGGCCAGATCGTTCTCCTGCTTGGCATCCTTTCCTTGAGAGAGACGATCCGATAGCATCTTGATCTGGTTGAACCCGCAGTGGCGCAGCTTCCGGATGAGGCCCATCCACTCGAAAGCCTTGAACTTGAGAGCGGTAGAGACCGTAAAGGGCACCTCCACTCTCATGCCGTGCTTGATGGGGCAGCGGCCATTCACCACTGGCAGGACCCAAGGATTCTCCGCATCGTTGAGGATGGTCAGATTGGACCGAAGCGCTTCGGCAATCTTCTCTTTGTCTGCAACTGCGCGTTCGCGCAGCTTCCAGTGTAGTGACGTTTGCATGAACCCAAGGGCGGGATTCTCATCTGCCTTAAGGACGCCATGAGCACCAAAAGATCTTCCAAAACCCCTTAGTTAAGGAATATACCCTAATTCAGAATGATGATCCTCAGTATAAATTAGGGCATATATTCCTCAATTAAGGGGTTTCGGAAGATCAGGGTATATGACCCCCAATTTGAGTGCTCATATGTTCAGGGATATGATTAGGGGGACCCTTGGGGATATAGACCCTCTGAATAAGGTTCCTGTTTAAGAGAGCCAGAAGAGGGTTCAGAAGGGTTCCCCTTTAAGGGTCCCCCTTAAAACCCCTTAAATATGGAATATACCCTAATTCAGAATGACGATCCTCAGTTTCAATTAGGGTATATATTCCTCAATTAACGGGTTTTGGAAGATTTGGGTTTATGACCCCCAATTTGAGGGTTCACATGTGGTCCCCAAGGCAAGGTGCCGGCTCCTCTCGCAAGCACTGCCCGGCTTCGCAGGCCGCTGGGAGCGTCGGCTGAGCCGGCACACCAGCAACTTAGCTGCTGAGTTCATAGGCCCGCCAAAAAAGTATACACTGTTCAGTTCTATAGAGGATTAGGGTTTAGGGTGTAGGGCGATTATAGTATCCCAAAAAGTGTATAAAGTGTACTCAGCTACTCAGGCACTGGTGGCAAACGCGAGGCAAAGGCGCCACATCGCGAATGTCACCCTTTTTCTTGTTGCAAGCCTATAGACCTTCCAAGCCAAAACGGCTGTGGATTGAAAAAGTTGCGGGCCGACCGCCATGTGCTGCTTTTTCATGGTCCCTCCACTCCTCGCCCCCCCCCCCCCCCCCCCCCCCCCCCCCCCCCCCCCCCACCCTAAACCCTAAACCGTAAACCCTAAACCCAAACCCCAAACCCTAAACCCCCCTCCCACCCCCCAACAACAACAAAGGGAGCCATCCTTTGCCTCTGCAGCAGCCAGGAGTCGTGGCGCAAGCTTTGGCGCATCCACCTCCCCGCGGAGGAGGCCCACCGCCAGTGCCTCATGTCTGAGCCAACCCTAAACCCTAAACCCCAAACCCTAAACCCTAAACCCCTACTTCAGCTGTCACATGCCTGGATGTCCCCTGACCGGAGCTCTTCCGACTCGACGGCCGCTTGGTAGCACTCCTGTGTGTGTGTGTGTGACACAGGGCATGGGTTTGGGGTTTAGGGTTTAGGGGCATAGAAATTGTATAGGGCTTCTGTCCGGAGTTTTGTGCGTTCGTTTTTTGGGTGGCTGTTGACTGACAAGAGCTGGTCTGGCTACAGACGCTAAACAATTGAAGACACCGGCTTGTTCAGCCCTTCTTCACTCCCGGATTTGTGGAAACCAAGTCGGGGGAAAAAAAAAAAACGCTAAACCACTTGCCTCTCCCAAACTAGCGAAAGTCTCTCATGTCTGAAGGGGCGGGGGTGTCACGGCCCAAAACTGGTCAACAAATTGGCTCCAGGTCTGGTGTTTGTGGAGGCCCATCATGGTCAAAATCACTGAAAGTGGCCATGTTGTTTTTGCTTTCAGGGATGTCGTTCCTTTGTTTTCTGGTGGTGTGTGGTCTAGGGTTTAGGGCGCCGGCACCACATCCAAAAAGCGTATACGAGGCGTAAACCCGAACCTGGTGAAGTTCCGATGGTCCGACGGTTTGTAAAGGCGAAAGCGTGTTTCAACTTCTATGGTATGAACGCGCACGGTTCACCACATATGTGTTAGCATACTTTAAACAATGAAGTGGATCAGTTGCCATCAGGATGTTTCTGTTCCACCTAGTTGCTAAGGGGTAGAGAATTTGCTCGGGAACTTTGTTTGCGATGTTTCTTGGGTCGGAGGTGGCGGGGGGGGGGGGGGGGGGTGGTGTGGGAAAATGCTTGATTTCTTCAATGTCATTCTTCTTTGTTTCAGTTCTTGCTTGCTTGCTTGCTTGCTTGCTATCTTTCTCTAGTTGCTATTTCTTTTCTTTCTGTCCTCTTCTTCCTCGATCCTCCTCAGCCCCGGTCCCTCTCTCTTCGATAAAGTCGAGGTTTTCCTAGTAGAAAAATCGAGAAAATCGAAGCGTTGGCGAGTAAAACAATTTTAAGAAATGCAAACACGATGCTTGCATGAGGGTTTTGATAGGGTTCCGATGTTGTTTACTGCAAGTTGTTCTTTGGGCCTGAAGCTTAAAAAGCGGGAGGTTTGGCGGGGCGGAGCCCTCCCCCCAGTTTGAAACACGATGACTAATCCTTTCCCCCTATTGTTAAATGGGTTCCCCCCCCCCCCCCCAATAGAAACTCCAAATGTGTCTTTAATATTAGGGGGATGTTTTTTTTAATCTACATGCCATCTTTTGGGATGGGGTTTAGATTTACTTGGAGAGAACTAGAGGTTCTAAATGTTTTTCTACCTCCCCCCCCTTCGCACCCTCCTTGCTAAAGCACTGAGAACTAGAGAGCCACTACGATCATCTAAGGCGCAACGTCGAAACTCAAAGACTATAACCGAAACAATGTACTCCCCTGCCTCTCTTCCACGCCCTCTCAACAGCCCCAACTTATCCGAGCCTTCGATGTGTCGGAAAGCACCCGACACCTGAGTTCGACAGCATGATTGGAAACATTGGACTTGTCTTTGCGACTGATTCCTTTCACCTGAGTTTGAGATTCAGGTTTGCAGGGCAAGGATTTCCGGTTTTTGCCGGGGCACTTAATATATAGGGGCCTTAATACTTAGAATAGGGTTTGAGGGCTATTATCGTATACATATATAGGGACCATAAGGGAATGCTGTTAATCCCCTCCCCCCACCCTAATTTTAAATGTTTTTGTTTCCCGGATTTTCCAGGCACCCAGCCCAATACTAAACCTGCTTGAGAATTGGGGGGGGGGGGGGGGCGGCCTCCGCTCTTGAGTTGAGCCATTTGGGTTTTCAATTAGGGTTTAGGGCTTCAGGCTCAGGATTGTCAGGGTTCAGGGCTCAAGGCTTAGAGGGTGTAATCAGGGTTTAGGGCTTAAGGCTAAACCCTAGCTGAACCCTAAACCCTCAACCCCAAACCCAATAGGTCGCAGTCACTGCCACATCTCTCTCGTTGTCGGGGCTTTGGGGTTTAGGCTTCGGATGTGTCAGGTTTAGGGCTTAGCCCCCCCACCCCCCCCCCACCCCCCCCCCCCCCACCCCCCCCCCCGATTTTCAATTTTTTCCCCGGCCGAGGCGAATGTTAGAATTGGGGGGGGGGGGGGGGGGGGGGTGTTAGTAATTTGGGGAGGAGATGAGTCTTGCGACCAGATTCGAGGTTTCGGGCACCTCTGCTGTTGCTGAGGCCCCTAGAGTCTTAGGGGCATGCATGCCCCAGCTCCAAAAAGGTTAGCCTTTTTAGATCTAGTAGGATTCTATATCGCCAGATAGGTTTACCCCTAAACCCGAAACCCTAAACCCTAAACCCTACACCCTAAACCATCCGTTTGATGGGATGCGCAGGTCTGTAAGCTTCGTTGTTTGCAGTGGCTTCGAGCTCTTGTGGCTCCTCGAGCTTTGGGGTGTTTGGTGATTGTGTTTAGGGTTTAGGGTTTAGGGTTTAGGGTTTAGGGTTTAGGGTTTAGGGTTTAGGGTTTAGGGTTTAGGGTTTAGGGTTTAGGGTTTGGCCTTCATTGGCTCAGCTTTGCCATGTCTTACCTAAACCCTAAACCCTAAACCCTAAACCCTAAACCCTAAACCCTAAACCCTAAACCCTAAACCCTAAACCCTAAACCCTAAAAAACCTAACCTTTCACAGGCATGAAGAACGTCTCGGACTGTTGGAAGCCTTCTTGTTCCAGCCCTTCAGACACGATACTTTCTCTACCAGCACCTTTGGAATCCCCTCTTCCCCCCCCCCCCCCTCTCTCAAAGGGCAGTTGCATGGTCCCTAGTCCCTCAGTATGGAGCCCTTATATACCCCTTATATACCCTATACACAAGAACCCCTACTTCAGAAAACCATATTACGGGACCATGTAGGTACTGTCAGCCGAGACACATTACCGCCTCGAGGACCCCAGTGGCTTCAGAGCTCCCAGAAATGGCAAGGGCCTGCAATGGCTCCGTTCTCTGGCCTTTAAAGAATCCCAAACCCGTAAATTCTGGTCGATCACACACACACACAAACGCGTCGCAATAAGGTGGCGCACCAAGCACGTTTTATTTCTGTGCGTGAGAGAGTGAGAGAAAGGGTGTGTGTGTGTGTGTGTGGGTGCATGTGTGTGCGTGCGTGCGTGCGTGCGTGCGTGCGTGCATGTGCGCGTCTCTGTGGAGGCTTGCCGCATGCCCTTCAACTCCATCAACTCCAAGTAGAAATCCTAATGCTGAGTGTGGAGGTATCTTCGGGAAATTGTGCACAGTTATAACCCTATGACCCACAGCTTTGCTCCAGCTCAGCTCGAAACCATCGCCACTTGCCCAAGATGGCGCGGCCTGGGCATTTCTGCAGCAGAGGTCATAGACTTGGGACTAGATCAACACAGGCCCCATACAGCGCTATTTGTACGATCATCCACAGAATATTGCCATTAAGGTTCAGGGTTTTTTGCCACGGGGACTAAATCAACCCAGCTTGTGGCCGATCCACTCCTAGACAAGGCAACATGGTAGCCCAGTAACCTTGTTCCATTCAGGGTGCCCTTTTCGGGGTTGGTTACTATATAAGGGAACCTTGAACCACAAAAAAACAAAGGGAAAGGGCGCCACTGGTCTACCAAGTCTATCGGGGCGCCTCAAAGATTCATTTAGTTTTCATCAGGCCTCTGCCGACGGGACTTCGGATCCGGCTTACTTGCAGGTTCGCGGGTACTTATAACCCAAATTATACGTCTACTGGCTACTGAAAGCCACTTAGGACTTGTGCAGTTCTAGTTGGGGTTTCAAGTTCACTAAATCTCCAAGGAGGGTTGAAGACTCATCTGGAGTGCAAGCTTCAAGCTTCACCCAATGAGCCCCAATATCCCTGCATTATAGGGAATGTTCCTGACTCTACATAGGGG